AATAAATGCAGAGTGATTTATTACTGCACCACTACTGAGCTGAAACTGCTCCCGGTGTATCTATTACTCATTTATCCTGTTTAATTAGGTTTCATTATTTTACTGTTTCATTGTTTTGTTAGTGTTTGCGGGGGAAGAAAACACACRAGGAGTTCTATGCCAGAAATCATGTTTCTGCCCTACGGTAGGATTTCCACTTCATCTCTTGAAGTCTAAAATGCTTTCTGCATTTTCAATACTTTCTTTGTTGCTGCCAAACCTGTTTCGCATTTTCAGTCCTAAAGGCTCAAGCAGCCGAGCCACATGTCTCACTGCCCCCCAGCCCCACTCCCCACGCAATTTACCTATTGTGCTTTGGCAGCCATTCATCTTTTAAATGCTCTCTCATGATTTCCTTTGTGAATGCAGAGCCAGAGGTGACCCTGAAAATCGACCCTGTTGTGTATTCTGATGATAATTTATTTGTACGTATATCTGTCTCACCAACATGATTTTTTTCATGCATTGGGCTGTCTGGTCCTGCCGAAAACTTGGAGAAGAGGTTTTTTTTTCCCGAAATAACCTGTTTTGAAAAAAATGCATGCACATTTAGAATTTGGACACATATCTTGTTTTTTTGCATGATTTACAGTAAAGTTGATACACTTATAATCATATTCAAAAATTTACATTTTCACACCCCATGTGTGTAGAAATGAATTTTGGGTTTTTGTTGATTTATTTGAACTGTTCTTTATTCATGTAGGGTTTTGTGGTTTTCTTTTCTCAGTTTTATTTCTTGTTTCTCTCTCTTTCTGGTGTTTCTTTATTTCCCTGTGTGGCCACCTGATCCTCCTGTCTCTCCCCAGGTGTTTCTCATTGTCATCTCGTTTAGTGTCTCCTACTGTCTTTTCTCTACTTCCTCAAGTCAGTCTGGTTTAAAGGGACAGTGTGTAGGATTTGTTGTTTTCAGCGACATCTAATGGTTGAGTGGTTGAATCATCCTCCCTGGTCCTCCCCCCACCCCCACCCCCCACTTCCAAACACAAAGGAGTTGCTACGGTGTCTCTCAGGTGTCAAAAACCTTTGATAATTCCAACCGCGATGTCTACCAGCAGCTTCAGGGCTAGTGATGTTTCAAGTGGTAAGATTATGAGCTTTAATAAGTAAAATTATCCCAGCTACAATGACAGACAACAAATATTACATTTATAGTATTACAACTAAAACCGTTTTTGACGCCGCCACCGCAGTTTGTCCTTCATGAGCCTTCGTAGACAAGATGGCGGTGCAAGATGGTGGTTGCCTGTGTGGCGACCCGCGACCATGGAGATATAAACAGCTTTTTATAAGGTAAAAATAATAAAACAAGGTCTTTGTCTGCAATGATTAGACATGTTTTTTATTATTGTCATTAGTGATTATCTCAATTTCGGCTAAAAGAATTGACAAAATCCTACACACTGTGCCTTTAACTTCCCTCGTGCTCCTTGTGTTTTTTTTCCCATTTATTACACGAAGTGCCTTTAGATTCTGCCACGTCAGCATCTTTATTGCATAATTAAACCAGTTTCCCGTTTTTAATCTCCATATTCTTTGAGATTTTTGCCTCCTCCCGGAGTCCTCTCCTGAACACAAACCTGACAATCCAGGTGAGAATGATTATGAAACAAAGAACTACAGGGAATTTTTAAATCAACAACTAGGTGAACAATTTGAATTTACTGTGGATTTTCCTTTTAATCCACACTTGGGTCAAAATTATTTACTCTTTAAACGTAGTGGTAGCATCAAAGTGGATGAAAAGTGGACAAATATCCAGTCAGAAGTTTATCAAAAGGTTAACAGTTAGCTAACTGACGCCTCACAACAAGAAGGTTCAATCCCCTGCTAGATCTGGGTGTTTCTGTGTGGAGTTCACATGTTTTCGTGTTTGTGTGGGTTTTCTCTGGGTACTTCGGTTTCCTCTCAGAAACCAAAAACATGCATGTTAAGCTGCCTTCAGGCCCAGGCCTCCCTTGCAAAAGAGATGAGTGATCTCAGTGGAACTTGCCTGAGTAAATAAAAGTTAATAATAAATATTAATTGCAACACAAAATATGCAGCTTGCTGAGGGATATTTAACTAAATATTAGAGTGAGTTTATGTGTACAGACTGTGGTAGCTCGGTGGTCAGTACTCAGTCTTATAATCCTCAGGTTACAGGTTTGAGCCCAGGTTATATCAGGAAGGGCATCCAGCATAAAACAATTGCCAAATCTTTCATGCATGTTTGTTGACTAAGATGACCCCTGCAGAAGGGAGCAAAGCTAAAAGTAGTGTATATATTGGAGCCCCAAGATTATTTATGACCCTGTTTACCGTGTGAACCATTAAATGTAAAGTTTTTATAATGATTTCATTCCGAAGCCTCTTTGTTCACTTGAATTATCGATTCAGAAACCAGTTTTGTGGGAGTTACGATTTGTGAGGAAGTTCTCCTTCATTAACTCGTTTCCTTTGTGCCGTGCACTAATACCACAGCATCAAAGTACCACCATCATATGCTCAACAGTTTATACACTGTTCATAAGTTGGTTTATATTGATATCCTGCTTTTAAATCCTTCTTTTTCATATTTAAATCATTCAGATGGGGTCTACATTTAAAGTGGAACTGCAATGATTTGGTCTGAATTCCTCCTTATTGTAACTCCACAAGCCCCTCGTTCACCCTTTTTCTGAGGTGTATCTCAGATCAACTCATTTTGAGACTGTCTCTTTAAAGGGATCCACGATTAGTTGTAACATTAAACTTTATTTGATTAACGTTTATTTTAACTGTAAAATAAAGACTGTAAAAATACTGTAGGCCGTTTAGTTTTGTAAATTTTTTTAAAATATATTTTATCACGGATGGAGCCATTTCATTTACACACAAAGCATTCTGGGTAAATGATGACATCAACTAGGTCATCGGTGCGAGGCTGCTAGCGAGCTATATCCACCCTGAAGGTTAATCTTGGACAATATCTGATGATCGACTCTTTTAAATGAAACCAGAGAGCGTTGACAGAGAGGAGAAGGTAGAAATGACTCAGCCTGTAACTGAAAATATRGATGGAGGACAACAGAGCTGCTTCATGGAAGAAGAACCTCAGCTTAGCCTGTTAGCCTTTGTGCTAGCGCTGACACTATATTGCCTTATATGTATTAGCTCAGCGCTAGCGTGACAAACAAGCTAAACTGAGGTCCTCCATCCATATTTTCAGTTGCAGACTGAGTCATTTTTGCGTTCCCCTCTCTGTCATGTGGATGGAGGACCTCAGTGATGGGAGGAGAATAGTGCTGAGCTAATACATATGTATGGTGATAGTGTCGGGGTTAACGCTAAAGCTAACAGGCTAAACTGAGGTTCTTCTTCCATGAAGCAGCTCTGTTGTCCTCCATCTATATTTTCAGTTACAGGCTGAGTCATTTCTACCTTCTCCTCTCTGTCAACGCTCTCTGGTTTCATTTAAAAGAGTCGATCATCAGATATTGTCCAAGATTAACCTTCAGGGTGGATATAGCTCGCTAGCAGCCTCGTACCGATGACCTAGTTGATGTCATCATTTACCCAGAATGCTTTGCGTGTAAATAAAATGGCCCCGTCCATTGAAAATATTTTTAAACTTTTAGTTTAAAAATGATAAAAACTGAACATCCTACAGTATTTTTACAGTCTTTATTTTACAGTTAAAATTTATGTTTATCATATAAAGTCTAATGTTACAACTAATCGGGGATCCCTTTAAATCCAAACAAGACACTTCACACCTACCCCAGTTTCCAGAATGGTCCATTCTGGATTAGGGGTTTACGACTATTGTGTGGCGCAGGAACATTTTATTTACAAATTAATTAAAAATTTGTCAACGAGGGAAGACTTGTCCATCCAGTCTCACATGTTGGAGCCAGAGTCTGACCCAGARCCAGAGGAGAATGAAGACCACCAAACTGTAGCTGGTAACTTCAGACCTTATTTGGCTGTTTTGTCGCAAATACTGTGATGTGATAGAAAACATAATAGAAAAATAAAGAAAACTGAAAATTATAAAGATATCTACACAGCACCAGGAGAAACCACATTAAAATATTTTGCACTAGAGACTCCACAACAAAATGTATTTAACAGCAGAAAAGAAAAAGTGGATTCTACATATGTCTCCTTTAAAAGACTTTTCTTGACTTCTCCAAACTCAGTTTATTGTCATTGCGGCTGAATCAAACCTTTTCTCTAAAACATTTCTTCACACTGTGTCTGTTGATCAGACTATTTCGATCAGCTGGATGTAGTGAACAGATCAGTGAGTTACAGATGTGCATCCATCCAATGATAATTGTCTGAGAGTTTTATTAAAATCTGCTTAGTTGTTCGTCATATATTTTGCTAACAGATACTGTAGACAGTTGACTACAATGGTCAAGCTTTAAACACAGATTTCTTTTTCTTTTACTTTCTTTTTATTTATTTTTATGTAAAGAACATAACACAAAAAAGAACATATGAGAGCTGGGGTAAATAACACAAAGTCAATTTGTTTACTTTTATCATTTATAGATATATCCACAAAATAAAATAAAATAAAATAATCCCTTCTCCTTTTGAAGACATTGAAAAAGTCAATATCTCCATGTTATAAATCAGATTTATAAAACACAGGTTTCTTAAGGTTTGATCTGTGAAATTGACATTATGGGCATTTTGTGTGTTTTTTTAAGGTCAGTTAACTGGGGCAGCCATCTTCCAAAAGTAGTTATATGAGGATTTATTGAAAGTTTCATTTAAAACATCGTATGTGTCAAAATAAAATCTTAAGATCATAATTTCTTAGCGAACATGAAGAAAAGCTTTCTTGTTACACAAAGAGGGAAGTTTTCATTAGGATGGATTTAGAGGGGCGTGTTTCCCATGTGAAGCCCCTCTGCTCTGGACCCTCCTACTGGGGGGCAGGAGGGAGAAACCCCGCCTCCGTCCGTCTTTTATTCGAGGAGAACTKGTCAGCTCCTACACACTGACCGCTCTGCAATCTGGACTCAACAACAGAAGAGAAGAGAAGAAGTTCAGCTCCCAATGCCAACAAAAACACAACCCGAAAGGCTTTTTCACCTCTGTGGACGATAAACTTCCAGCTCCGTTACAGGATGGATTTCTTGGACGTGCGCTCTCCTTATGATTACACCTTTAACTTCTGGAACGACTACCTCGGTTTGTCGACTCTCGTCGCCAAAAACAAGATCAACAGCCCATCCTGCAACCCCAACTCCATTACAGAGTCCCTGAAGGCGACGCTGGGTTTGGAGGATGACTCCCCGGTCTGCTCCTGCGTAATCGGCCACGGCAGAGACGGTGACGCGCACCCGGACTGCTGCTGCTGCTGCTGCTGCGCGGCCCCGGGCTCCCCGCCGATCTCCCTCTACGACCTGAAGGAGCGCATCTCTCTCCTCAGACCTTACGACCACCCGGCTGCCGACCCTCAGCTGGAAGGCAGGGATTCCCCGTCGTATGCGGGGAGCTTCCCGGGCTTCGACCTGTGCGCCATGGAGCGGAGACGCAAGCAGAGCCAGAGGGCCAAGCCGGAGCCGAAGGTGTGCGTCTTCTGCCGGAACAACGGCGCGCCGGAGGAGGTGTACGGCACCCACATCCTGAAGGCGGCGGACGGCAGGGTCCTGTGCCCCATCCTGCGCGCGTACACCTGCCCCCTGTGCAGCGCCAACGGGGACAACGCGCACACCATCAAGTACTGCCCGCTTTCCAGGGAGCAGCCGAGCCAGAGGGCGCCCAAAGCGGGCAGAGCCATCGGCAAACGGCTGAAAATCTTCTGAATCAACTCGCGCTGGCTGCAAATTAAGCGTGCATGGCAGTAATTTAGCCTCATTTCATGCACAAGACAAGGCTGGAGAGTCCTATAGATTTCTTCTTGGTGTCACTGTTTTATTTGTAACGTAACGCTATTGTTTACACTTGGACGCATGGCGCGCGATGAGCCCCCCCAGCCCCCCAGCACTCTAAAAACTTGTTGAACCAAAGTTCTGTACAGATCGACCTGTGAATGAGCAGCTTCATGCTGTCAGAGGTTCCAGAGCCCAGTCCTCTGCAGAGACTATGCAGCTCTATAAGAGGTGAATGTTCAGTCCTGTTGACCACCGGTCTGACAGACAGACCACTGCAAGATGCAAACACTTTACATCCAGCACACTTTTGTTTCCCTGAGATATCAATGTTTTCTACCAAAGGAATTCCACTTTTATATTGAATCTTACCCGGAAGGTTATTTCTGTACTGTTTRTATGATGGATGTCTTCTCCTGGATGTGATCTTATGTGTTTATTAGAGAAGTTTCAGCTCAAATTGTGTTCCTCGGTTTCTGTCCCACTTAAGGATAGATGGCCTTTTTTAATTATTATTATTATTTTCTTGTGCACCTGCGATTTTTGTAAATKCAAAACAATTTTAGAAATGAAAAAGCCTGACATTCCAAAGTATTTGTCGACTAATAATAAAAATGTTTTATGTATCTATTTTTACCTTATGTACCACCGGGGAAATATAGTCAAAGGCTTCTGAATAAATACATTATTTGCATTAGTTTGACTTGAACTGACTTTATAAACTGTATGTGTGACTTTACAGATAATAATGAGCTGCAGCAGYGCCTGAAAGTAACACAAATGTGCCTCCAGCTGTTCAAAGCCTTCAACTGCAGCTTCTCTGTTCAAGACAACAAACAAATGAGCTCTTTTATGATTGAGTTTTTCTGTTAGAACAAAGCAAAATGCTCTCAATATTTTTTTCTGAATATAATCCTCAAATGACAACTAAATATCAGTCAACTCCAAATATCTTATGTACCAATGGATAAATTTAAATTAAAACTGATGAAATGAATGTCTCTAACTGTACGATCAAATGGATCTTTATGAAACTTAAGAAAAAAAACTCTTTTTTTTTGTCACTTCAGTAGAAAAAACCAAATATTATYAGTTTATTCCCAGTGGAATTCTGTAAAGTGTTCTGGGATAATCTTGCACCAGTATTTAGTAGAATGCTACAAGAGTCAGAAGAAAATGGGAGGTTTCCAACACATGAATTTGGCCAACATTAATCTGTTGTTAAAACCGGGCGAAGACCCAGTATTACCCACCAGCTATCGCCCGATTTCACTTATTAATGTTGACGTTAAAATAATTTGTAAAGTCCTCTCTAAAAGATTAGAAAAGATTACTCCTCTCATTATTCATCCTGATCCAACCGGCTTCATTAAAGGTAGACACTCAACTACAAACTCACGCAGATTATATAATTTAATAGATTGTTCATACATTAAAAATGTGGAAACAGCTATTTTGTCACTAGATGCAGAGAAAGCATTTGACAGAGTAAATTGGAAATTCTTATTTGCAACTTTGCACAAATTTGGTTTTGGGAATAATTTTATTAATTGGTTAAAAATACTATATAACTTACCGTCAGCATGTGTTAGGACAAATAATCATATATCTTCTAGCTTTTATTTACAGAGGGGCACCAGGCAAGGATGCCCACTGTCACCCTCATTGTTTGCAATATTTACTGAACCACTAGCCGCTGCTATTAGGCAAACTGCAGATATTAAAGGCATTCAGGATAGGAATATAGAACATAAAATTAGTCTTTATGCTGATGATATTTTACTCTTTCTTCAGCATTCAGGAAATTCCATATATATGGTAATTGAATTAATTMATTCATTCTCAAAAGTTTCAGACTACTCCATAAATTGGTTAAAATCTACAGTTCTTCCAATTAATTGCGTTTTTAATAATTCTCTTAACTTTTAAGAAAAAATTAATCGGATGTACATCTAAAACTGAATAACTTGTGGAGCAAGCTCAATTCAAGATGGACATCGCAGCCAAACTGATCTGAGAAAACAAAAAAAAATGGCTATAGGTCAGTCAATTTTACAGACATTGTGCTTAAAATTTGATGTGATAGTAGCCAAGACTCATCCACAACGCAAACTCAAAGCACTGCCTTTTACATAAAACTTTAGCATCAACTGATGGGAGTCAACAAAGTATCTCATGAAGCACTGCAGGTTTTAAGGACATTTTCAGAAAGTCATTTTGAACCACTACATCTACTAATTCAGGATGATTGTCACTGCTAATCAACATTAAACGACAAAGATGGTAAAATRGTAAATGGCTTGAACTTATATAGCGCCTTATCAAGTCCACCTGGCAGACAGAGGTGGCCAAGGAATTCCTACAACTCAGTCAGTTTTACAGATATTAAACTAATATTTGATGTAATACGAGATTTAGCAACTTGTCAGTTTATTTATAGCACATTTAAAAACAACAGTGTTGACCAAACCTGTGACCAAAACAGATACAACATCACAGTTCTCATGATGATCTCAGTCTAAACCACAGGCATAAAAGACAGCAGGTGATTTGCATTCCTTCAAAAAAAGAGAGGTATTTAATCGTTTTCTTTTAAACCAGATTTTAAAAAAGACCCATTTTAATCACAAATATACAGTGGTTTGCAAAAGTATTCATACCCCTTGAACTTTTCCATATTTTGTCACATTACAACCACAAACATAAATATATTTCACTGGAATATATTTATGTTTGTGG